GCTATATGTACGTAATTTTCCCAATAAATATTTGCAATAGCTATTGACTTTGACTATATTCGTTATACATTAAATAATACTAATACAATACCCGTGTATTACACGAGTGCTTGTTAAGAAATTTATATTTAAACTTAAAATTATAAAAAAAATAATTTTCAAATATTTTTTAAAAAAGGAATAAAATTTTATTTAAATTTAAAATGGCATCCATCACTTATATAACTTAACATCTTATATTATAATAATTTTTTAATTTGTAACACATAAATAATTTGTAGTTAACTTCATTTAAATAATTACTTTCCAATTACAATTAATATATAATTTAACTTTTATTTTAGATATAAATATAATTATTTATTTATTTTATGTACAATACCGATGTCAAATCGAATTTGAAAAAGAGAAGAATAATCTGATATATTATATATGAAAAATTGTTAATAAATAAAAATTTATTAACATTTAAATATATTTATAATTTATGTTAGTAAATTTTTTGTAATTATAAAAAAATATATATAATTCACAATATATATTTTTTTATAATTATAATAAAGTATATATAATTCACAATAAATATTTTTTTATATAAAAAAATATGTTAGTAAATATATATATAATTCTCTCTATTTTTTTTTATCATTTTCCGGAAAGTATTCTGGCATTTTCGTTTTCGTTCAATTTCCGAGTTTTTGAATCCGAATCTCGTCTAGCACGCAATAGAAGATTGAGTATTTAATTCTAAACCTCATTACTTCGCTTTTGTCTCGTTTTTACTTATGATGTTTTTAAAAGTAAATTTGGGTGTTTGCTTGATGGAGGATGGAGAGTTTTGGATTTTATTGTTTTTCTTGCTTGCCTAAGTGATTGTAGGGATTAATTGATTGCTTATTTAATTAATGATTAAGACTTTAATTAAAGTTTAATCATTTAGGGTTAAAATGCTAGTATTGATTACCTAGGGCTTAAGGTTTGCATATTTCTCTTAATTGTTTGCATTTTGTTTCTATGGCATAGAGACTCCAGTAGTGTTAACTTTCATATTGTCTCTCGTTGCTTTCAATCGCTCTTAATTTCTAGCTTAGCTTTGCATTAATTCATCTCTCAACCCATTGATTAGAATGTTTAGGTCTTGTTTTCTCATTTTGTGTTTTAGACAATCGATTAGCGAACAAAGCTCCGAATAGCCTTCATTTGCGAACGATCCCAACTCAGTCTCACATTTATGTTTGTTTATTAAATGAGTTGTGTCATGCCAACTCAGTTATTAAATGTACACGAGTTTAAATATTAAGTGCTTGACTCGAATAATCTCGCTAGGCACATATATATATATATATATAAAAATAAAAGTATGAAAACTATTTTTAAGTATTAATATAAATTACATAAACCATGCATTAAATAATATTAAAATAATATTGTATTTGTAAAATAAAAATCAATTGTATGGACTTCCTAAAAAAACTTGTGAATTATTAACTACTCTTTTATAAATATGGCAAATCATAATTTTTAATTAACTAATTATTATTTTTAAATGAAGATATATTTTTTCTCATATACTTAATTTTAATTAGAAGAAATAATATATTTCTTAAAAAGACTACCTTGAGAAGGTTCTAATCGCTTTATTCTTGTTGTATGACTTGCCATTTAAGGTTCATATATCATTTGATTGAATATGCCACATAAATAAATGAGACTTGGTATTAAATTTTTTATATGCCGAAATACCAAATGTTAGAAAAATCATAAAAAATATATAACTAAATTATAAAATCAATTAATTCAACCGCATACTAAATATTCTATTCATTTAACTCAATAATATAATATAAACCAGTGTTTTTCAACCCGGACCGACCCGACGGGTCGACCCGGAGCCGAAACCGGTCCGGGTGGGCTATTCGGACCGGGCAACAAAGGACCCTGTCAAACCTGGTCAAAACCCGGTAGACCCGGCCTTGACCCGGGGCATTGACCCAGCTGGGTCAACCCGGTTGACCCAGTCCTATATATATATATTTTTTAATATATTTTTAGTTTTTAAAAAATAAAACTATGTATATAAATTTATATGGTAAATATTTATCATGAAATACATATTATTAATACTTTAATGTACAAATTTTATTTACAAAATATTTAATTTCGTTATTTTTATGTATATTTATAAGACAAAATACTCTATATATAATTTAAAAAAAAATAAAATTAATTATCCGGTTCAGCAATTGACCCGGTGACCTGGCGGTTGAACCGGTAACCCGGTGACCTACCCGGGTCGATTCCCGGGCCGGGTTTAAATACTATGATATAAACTTAAAAAGAAGATGAAAAACGACATAAGGATCTAATAGGAAAAGCGAAGAGAGACTTAGACCATTTCAAATATATGATTCATTAATTTAATTTAAAATAGGAAAAGCAATTATTGTCTCAAATAAAACTATTCAAATAAATTTTATTTAACTCAATAATATAATATAGACTCAAAAGGAAGACGAAAAACGACATAATGAGCTAATAGGAAAAGCGAAAAGAGACTTAAACCATTTCAAATATATAATTCATTAATTTAATTTAAAATAAAAATAATTTATTTTGAGCCAAAATAATATTAATCCGTGGTTAGTCTAATATAACATGAGCTAAAATATTTTTTATTAGTATATATTTAGATGTATCGAAAATTAAGACCAGGGTGGAGCCCACCCCAGCCTTTGGATTTCCTAAAATTTTAACTAAAATATTTTGCAAACTTCATAAATATTTAAATAAATCACTTTTATTTCTTAATATATTTTGCCAACTTTATATTGTGTTTGATGAAACTATTAATCACCCTCAATAATTTTTTATAAATTTACTATATAAAGAAATATTCATCACCCTCAATAATTTATTATAGATTTACTACATAAATATGTATATTATTTAATAATTAGTAAATAATAGTTTAATATAAAATTAATATGATAGATATTTCAATTATTTCAATATATATAAGGGTAAAATTTAAGACAAATTCACTACTGAAATAAAAGAAAATAGAAGTAAAAGGGGATGGACAAGTTCATCACCCTCATTAATATGAATTTACTATATAAATATGTGTATGTACTACTTTTTAATTAGTAAATAATAGTTTAATATAAAATTTATACTTATATAAAAAGTCATCCTATTTACTAGAAATAGTAGGCAGAAAACTCAAAGTTAATTAATGTCATTCTATTTCCAGCAAGTATTTTATTTATTTGTTTTATCCCATAACATCAGTCAAATAAATCCCATAAAATCGATTTAAAGTTTGTGTAGATTTAAATTTCTTTTTATCTTTTTACAAAAAATCTCCAATGACCTTTGTTTTGATTTGTCCCTCAATATGTAAAATCCGATTTTCGTAAATACTACTGGTTTAAACCGTCTATATAGGTGTAGATTGAAAATTCCTTCTTACCTTGAAACAAATTATAGATGCAATCTGATTCCTTCTTATTTTAAATTCCTTCTTATTCCTTCTTATCTGTTAAGTTATTAGATGCAATCCGATTTCCGTATATTGAGATTTTATCGTAAAAATATTAACAGATATTGTATTTAGTCTACAAATTATACATTATAAACCTCAAAATATTGAGGCTTAATCAAACAAGTTAATAGGTCTAATAGACCTATGCTTAAAGTTCGAATTGTAAGAATATTTTCCAAGACTCAGGCAGCACATACAGATCCTATCTCGAGTTGGTTCTGCATGATAAAACTGTAAGTCAAATTATTTTTACTTCTTTTTTGTTTATTTCGAAATATGAAACGTATATTTTCGATTTATTTTATTATTTTTAAAATTTAGAATTTGTCTTATCTCACATTGGTCTTTTTCTAAAGAAACCTGTCTTTAGTCATGGCTAATTATATGTTGTTGTTTTGCGTGTAACTAATAGAAAGGGGTTGAAAATATTAGTGTGTGAGAATGACGAGTTGCTCAATAATCAAACTCATAATGTTGTGTACAAGGATGTCTTTAATAATATATGATTGTTTCTTTGTCGAATACTATTTCATTGTACAATTTTTCTACGTATTATAAAACTTTTATTGAATATTACATCTTATAATATAATATTCTTCAAATAAATATATCTCGTGTCTCACACGTGTCACGTACTATATATATCCCGTACATTTTTATTTATTCATGTTTATAAATATAGCTTGGATAAATAGCATTAAAATTGTGCATCCCGTGCATCGCACGGGCTCTGCATTAGTTATTGTTATAGATACTTCAATTTATCATTATGATTTCTTATATTTTTGTAATTATTTTAAAGTTATGTCTTTTTAGGTTTCAAATATTTTAAAATTATTTGTATTATTATTTGTTATAATATATTAAGATTAATTAAATATATGTAAATTAATGATGTTGATAAAACATAATTAAACTTAAGTATATTAAAAGAATTAAATATAACCCAACCAAATATCGAAAAGTAGTACCGATTATTTAGTAATTGATTATGTAAAATAATTATTTTAATTATTTGGAAAATAATTAGCTACTTACACTCCATAGATTTATGACTCGTCCTCGCAAGTGAATTTTTGGAATTGAATTAAATCATCCTATATCTTAACCCCCTAAACTAATAAATTGACACATTGATCTAAAAATATGCTCTACTCAATAATATAATCAGCTTTCACTCAATTAGTTGCTCTAACTATTGATGTTGAGCAATTGAGGAGATAAAATGATTGATCACTTGTCTTTTAACATGTTGCAAGCGGAGTCGAGTTCACGAGCAGTTCGTTTCGTCTCATACCTCTAGTCACGGCAAATGATGAAAACCGTCTCATACCTCTAGTCACGGCAAATGATGAAAACAAGTAACAATGTCGTAAAATCTTGGAAAAAAAAAATTAAAAGATTTCATCCGTGGAAAAAACAACAAGCATAATAAGATCAATTAGATGCATGTATATCAACATGCTTTCAAGAGAGCAACATTTAACTTATCCTTCAAACTCTCACCATTGCAACCGCAGTTCTCCTCCCAAACAGTAAACGTATGAACAACTTCACCACCGTCATTTATCTTCACTATCGACTCTTGAGCCGACACTTTCTCATCTCTCAATGTGCCACACCCATTTTCCTTCGAAGCTCACTTCTCAGCCTCCAAAAGCCTAATCGGGGTTTTTAATTTTTATTTCAAAGTTGGTTTTGGTGTCATTTGCCTAAATAAACAAGTGTAGCAACATTTTCCAGATCATTGGAGTCAACTTTGAAAATAACAAAAGCATATCATCATCGATGTGATTATCATAACCCCGCAATTTTAAAATGAAACCAGTCCTCAAACTTTCATAATATAGTTTATTCATCCGAATTTGATTGGAACATTAAAGAAAATATAAGCAACGAAAAAAGGAAAATAAATGAAAACGAAATTAAACACAAGCTGCTCCCAACTAAACCACAAACGGAATTGGCGTGGGCCAAGGTGGATGCATGAGAACAAAGGACGCGAGACCCTCGTCGCCTATGGATTCCCGAAGCTCACCGAGCTTGCGACACGTGTCCTTGGAAACCCCACACTCGTAAACACTCTTTCCGCACATGACAAAAATCGAGTCACAATCTTTTGGGTGAAAAATGGCAGCAACAACCGTATTCCTGTCACCATCAGCAGCAACTGCATCCGGGAACTTCAACTCCCTCTCACCAACCAACGCCCACGTGTCGTCCCCACGGTCCAATTCCCAAACCCTCATGACGAAGCATTTCGGGCCCGGCCCATTTTGAGTTCTCAAAACGTGCAACAACCTCAACTCATCCCTCACAGCACCAATGTGGACCCTCGAGTCGGGCGTGTCAACAGTGGTGTTGTCACGCACAATGTCTGGGAAATAGATTACGCCACACCGATTCTCGGCCAAATCTAAAGAAACAATGCGGTCGAAGTTAAATAAACCGTCCATCCAGTACAGAATCCCATTGCACGAAACGACATTGGCATTTTCGGCATGGTCCATTGTTGGGCGAGTAGGAAGCAAGAAGGAAGATCTGGTCCATTGCACCGACTCGGAGCAAAACACCCACATTACTAGTTGGTAGTTTTCGGCAATGGCTTCTCCCGAATCATCCATCAAGATCGAACGATCAAAAAATACCACCTTGTATGAGTACCTAGCATTAGGAGAGGGCTCGTTGCATATCAGTGCGAAACCAATCCTGGTTCCAAGAGGGGATTCACTTGGAATGGGGAACCACTTTTTAGTCACTGGGTTACAAATGTAGTACCTCTGCCTCGAACTATAACAGGGCATATAAAAGCGGCTATCAGGGGTCACGAGCAACAAGTCATTGCACGATGCCTTTACGACCATGAGTTTAGGCATAAAGTCGAGATAGCTAGACGATGATAATAATGCATGATTTCCGCCGTGGATAAGCAAAGATTCCTCCGAGAAAAGAGTGCAAACCAACTGATAGTACTCTCGGGTCTCTAAACAATAACGATAATTCATGCGGAAAAGAATGGTGTAGGATTCATCTCGATCTTGATGGAGGCGGATGAAGCTAGGGATGAATTGGGGTTGAGAGATCAAAGCATGCCAACGCCGACAAACAGAGCTCAGCTGAATAGCAGATCGACAATTCGGGAGTCTAAGAAAGATCTCCGACAATAGGTCTTCACCGACATTAGACAGCAACACTTCTGATGCTCGCAAGTGATGAAGAAAAAAAAAAGAAAAAAAAAAAGAGTATTTAGCAACGTTTAAGAGTAGTATCTCATTACATACTTTATGTTATTGTAGCAACAATCTCAATTACCGAGTCCATTGTCAACGGAGACCTCAATGCTTGTCCTTCCCCTTTTACTTCTACCGCTTTTCTGATCATAAATATGCATATATATTAAAATGTACTGTGTAAATTACACACAACCCCCTGTATTGTAATATCAAAAAGCACAAGCACATGACACGGCCAGTGGTGCATCTATTCAGATTGTTTGTTGGTGTTCTTCTTTTCTTTTCCTTCTTATTGTTGTATACAAAAGATTTGTTCAAAAATATTTAGAGATGCCTATCCAACCTTTTCGGTCAATTTTATGAATTTGATTTACAACAGCAACGGATATAACCACAATACAAAAAAATAAAACTGAAATTAACTCCAAAAACTAAACAAATGAAAAAACTAAACCTTATCTTTCAAATTAATTACGGGATATAAATTTGAGAATGGACCTGATTAATCAGAAGATTGGGATTGGAATCGGGATTATTATCCAATTGAGGGGCGGCCACCAGAAGAGCAACATGCATGGGTAATATTTTCATGGTTGGATTCCTTCCAGATATTCCCTTTACAAATCTCGGGTCTGTTATAAAATCATCAATTAAAAAAAACAATCCAAATTATAAACACAAGTAAATGAGAAAAGCACAAGAGAAAAAATTTACCCATGGTCGACATAACGCTTGAATCCTCTTCTTTTTCCTCGGAGTTTTGATTTTAGAAAAACCCTTTGTCGATGAAAAATAGTACACGCTGCTTATATAAATAAATAGCAAACGGATGAAGAAAAAAATATAGTTACCAAGTCAATTAAGGAATCGGAATATATATATATATATATATATATATATATATATATTATATTATACAAGGAAATGAAGGAAAGTAATGGAAGAAAATGTTAAGGACACAAAAATGAAGCAGAGCAAACGGTGCAAACACCAAGTTGAAGCAGAGCAAAGAAAGAGACAATCGGAGAGGCGCCTTGGTTAAAACCTACGTCCCAGCATTTGATGGGCCGTATCTTGTCAACATATAATGAATTCAAGCCCATCTAAAGATTATATAATAAGCCCAATGGACCAACCAGTCACTCTACATACTCTAAAGTCTCACTCGTGAAAATAAAAATATGAGAAATTTACCCCTCTACACTTCCTTATGAAAATAATATAAACTCGTATAATACCCGTGTATTACACGGGTGTTGAATTAGAAAGCTTTTGTGAAAATATTAATTTTTTTATTTTTTCTAAAAAGTAAAATAATATAAAACATTACTTTGGGTTTTAATTAAATTGTCAAATTATATTTTTAATCATAATAATTAAACACTCGTACCTTAAATGAAAATGTCAACTCGTGTTGAATGTTTTTTTACTTATATCATATAAAAAATATCGATATTATTTACTATTACATAAGTATAAAAATATATATCTTAAATAAATAGAAATAATATGGTGATATATATATGCATAAGTGTAGAATATGTTTATTTAGTATTAAGCAAAATAGATTACTTTTCTTACTTAATTAGATGCCAAATGCTTCACAGTTTTTTAATTTTATATGTAATTTTAGAATTTAGATGAATAATTATTTATTTTTATTAAATTGATAACATATCAATTAGATTTGAAATAAATATCATTTCTAAAAGAATACATACCAATTTCTATTACTTTATAATATAATTTATAACTTTATTTGATATAATTTAATTTAGTTTGATAAATAAATTTTAATTTTATTTATAATGATATATATTCCTATTTTGTACTTTTTATATATAATATGGATGACAAATCGAAAATCGATAAAAAATAGTTAATCAAATTGAAAATCGATAAAAGATAGTTAATTTGATATATCATATATGAAAAATAAAATACAAACAAAAAAGTTATAAAATCTTAAAATAAGAAGAAGAAACATTTATAAAAACTAATGAATTAATTATATAAGAAAATGAAATGTGATGTATGGTAATGTAGAAAAATGAAACATAGAATTGTTTATGGTAACTAATATGATGGGTCTACTTCCAGATCTGGAGTAAACCGGTGGATTTGAGCTCAGATTTGTGTGAACCGCCTCTGAATCGTCACTAGACCGCGAGATGCTTGCAAAAATTCAACGCCGGAGGTGTTTCCGGCGTAGAGCCTCCGACGCTCAAGTTAGTATGAGAGTGATGAAGGGATGCTACGCAGCAGCTATGAGGAGAGTGTTGGGTTCGCATGTACCGTACGAGTCATTTGCAGCGAAAAAATATTTTAAAAAACAAGTATTTATCATATAAATACTTAACCCGTAAATACATAAAGCGAATAAACAGATCGTCATCATTTAAATACATGTATAAATACAAATTTTGATTTGAAGATAGTTTCGAAATTACCTCAACTTGAACTCCTTCAAATTGACGATGATAGAGGAAATCAATTCCCAGTTTAATAACGATCTTCTTGTTACTCACTTTAGGAATCCAATCGTCTTCCCTCTAATAGTATCCACCTTTTGAAATCCGACTCCGAAAGATAATTTCTTCGCTAGTAGAAATTACTCGGTTTTTTAAAAGTATAGAAATATATTTTATGAGGAGTTTTACAAGAACTATTCTTGTTTTAGAGAGATTATAATTTTCTTAACTTTCTTAAATTTTTCAAGACTTAAATTTTTCTCACAAACTTAGCAATTATGAACATCAAGTATGTCCATATTTATACTAAAAATTTAGGTATAAAATAATGATGTCTTGAATAACTTTCACAAGAAATGTAAAGATATTCAACTTAAAATATTTATGTCTTAAATAATTTTCACAAGAAATGTCAAAAAGTCTTGTATCACTTTTACAAGTTATCTTAAAAAGTCTTGTATTACTTTTACAAGTTAATACAAGAATATAATATAATATGATGTAGGATCCCATCCCATCCATTATATTATTATTATTATTATTTAATCTTTAATCTCAATTAAAAATTATTAATAATAATAAACAAATAATTTTAAACTCTTTCAAAATTATTTGTATATATATTTTCTCCCATATAAAATCTCCTCATTTAATAATCATATTATTATTCGAAAATGAATTTTAAAATCTAATTTTAAAATCCAACTATTAATTTAGTAATTACATTAATTACTTAATTAATATCTAAAATAAAATTAATCAATCCAATTGATTAATTTAGTATATTCCTTTAATTGACATCTAATCAAAATTAGATTTGTCAATTAATTCTAACTCTTTAGAAATACTAATTTCATTTTGCCTTCATTCAAAAATTGGTGTGACCTTTTAGGTTCACTTTTAAAGCCCGAGTGTAGCCTTTAATTCTCCTGTTGGGAGCTTACACTCAGGTATTACCCTGTTGGGGCCTTGTATGTTTTGTTTCGTGGAGTTGTTAGATTTGGTTTGGTTTAGTAGTGTGTTGGTTTTTCTAGCTCTGCTAGTTGATTTCGTTTAGGTTACATTAGCTGTGGGTGTAACCTCTCAATTCCCCGGTTTCGGGCTCGTTTGTGTACATTGCCTTTTTGGCCTTTTATGAGTATGTTAATGCCGTTGGAAAAAAAAAAAAAAACTCTTTGTANGGTTTACAACTCTTTGTAATTTGAATTAATCTAATTAATTCTTATTCATGAAATTAACTCCTTAATTTCAAAAACCCACATATCATGGGAACATCTAGCAAGTAGCATGAATCTAGTATTAAGTGAATAGCGAGTAAACCTTTTCGATTACAAGTCCATACATGTAAAACCCTTTCGACAACTAATTTCCCGATTAAATCTTGGGTATGGTTTTTAGTCGAAACCCATTTGATTTAATAACTGTGATTCCATTTCAAGTTTAGTAATTCGTGTATGAATCTCTATTCATCCTGCCTTGACCAAGGTCTTTGAATCACAAACTATGAAAAACATAGGAAATTCACTTATCCTTATAAGTGTCGAATTCTTTGTTGGCAACAGATAAACCTCCATACATATTAATACAGTACCCAAAATATCCCTTTTGTGATTGTCCAGCAATCAAAGGATAAATCAAAGTAAAGCACAATATGCATAAGATTACTATCGTGCCTCAAGTCAGAGGATTAATCATGTACTATTGTAACATGAAAATTCTTATTCGACAGTAAAAAGTTCCATTTAAGAATTTTCATACGGTCATGCTCAGTGAACTTGTTCCCTAACAAGCACCCACATATATGTATTTGCGTCCAACGCTAATGTTGATGGAATGCAACATTCTTGTCCAACAAGTATACATCATATGTGCAAGTCTTACCGGGTTATTCGATATCCCATCTCGAAATATCCATCGACTTGGAACTTTATTTTAAGATCAAAACTTTCAAAGCATCTTCCATGATTACCATCCAATGCGTAACGGCGCCAAATTTGTTGTTGCAAATTATTTTTATTTACCGAGCACCGAATCGAATGATTCGTTTCCCGGGTCGATCTCTCGAGAAAGACTCTTCGGAATTTAATATTGGTGTTGATAACACATAAAATGAAAACAAAGCCTAAACATTCTAATCATGATAGGGTTGAAAGATGATTAACTAAGACAATAACATAAAACAATAATCTACCTAAAAATATAAACGACGAAAAGATAAATATGCTAGGGAATCGGGAATAATCGCTTCCGGTTCTACACTCATTTAATGGCAATCAATAACTCGGTTAACGGCCTCGACTCATCCACTCGTTTAACGACTCAACCATCATAGCATTACGCGGTAGATAGAGGAATCATAAACGAGCAATTAAACGAGACAATCAACACATAGACAATACTTCTCCGGTTATGCTTACTCTTTAAGAGCCAACAAATTCCATCAATATCTCCCCTCTCGGTTATGAAATCGATTATTTCTACGACTCCTCCCCTTTCGGTTCTAAAAGTCGCAATTCAAAGAATTAACAAACTTTAACTTAACAAATCCATGTTCAAGCACAAATCAAATTGTCACTCTTTGATTATATCAACAAATTAACCTAAGTGTCACTCTTAGGTTATAAATATTTACCAAGTTTAATTTATCAATTCATAATTAAAACAACTCGTCAAGATTGAGCTATCGTCATGCACATAAACGAGCTTAAACCGAAATGATTATCCCCTACCCCTAGCTAGAGGATTAGCTACATACAATAAATTCAACACAATAATTCATTTCTGAAGAAGAAGAAGAAGAAGAAGAAGAAGAAGAAGAAGAAGAAGAAGAAGAAGAAGAAGAAGAAGAAGAAGGAGAGGGAAGAAGAAGAAGAAAAAGAAGGAAGAAGAAGAAGAGAGAAAATGGTGATGGAGATGATGATGTTCAAGAGGATGGTGTTGGGGGGTTAAGAGAGACAAGAAAACATGTTCTTCCCCCTTAGGAGATGAAAATGTTCCCTCACTCCCACCTAGGACCGGATTTTATGGCATTCCTCCTCATTTCCCGAGCTAAAAAAGCTCTAAAAACAAGTATGCAAAAACAGATCTCCGCGGCCGCGACTTGATCCCGCGGCCGCGACTTTTTGCCTCAGTCCGGACTTTACGTTTTGGGCTCGTTTGGGCTCGTCCGAACTCAGAATTGAGTTCCGTTTTTTCCTACGCGTAGCTATCAAACCTCTCTATCTAATGGTGTGAGAAAACCACACTTTTGCTAAGAATACAAATTTTGAGGAATTTCCAACCATTAAAGGGTCGGTAACTTGGACGACATTACGTTTTGGCCCCGTTCGGATTCATCCGAACTCGAAATCACATTCCGCTTTTTCCTATGTGTAGCCAACAAACCCTTCTTCGTAACCATGATTGCCCGGTCTATGTTGAGCTAAATCAAC